TATGTAGTTTGGGGGGGTGTTTGAGATGAATGAATTGAGAGTAAAATGGTAATATACCATGTTGGGTTAGTGACTAAGCCAAACCAGAGTTAATGTGCACAATGGAAAAACTAACAGAGGGACTAATCTGGAGTAACTTATATGAATTGAGGGACTCAATAGCAATTTCGTTGATTTGAGAGACTAACTTAAAAATATGAAATATTCAAGGGATCGATATCTAAAAAATCCTGATGCGAATTGATGTCATGGAAGTTATTGCTCTCTCTATATAGGCATTCAAGACAAATTTTGATTTCAAAAGGGAAAAAGTCCGCAATTTAAGGGGGAATAAAACAGAAGGGTACCAAAAACAGAATTGATGATTCTAAAATCTTTTGCATATAGCACTGAGGAACTTTAACCAGTTATCTGTAGAGAATAATTATCCTGATAGTCTAATTTCATTTTTTTTCTGAGCACAAACTCGTTGGCTAACTGCATGGGCTCCTTTTGTATCTTTTCTATGGTTATTACAATATTTCTGCAGTTTCCAAATTATTTTAAGTTTTTGCTGGCTCATTCCATTCTATTACCATATGATGTAACACGTGTGCGCATACATATAATCCGAACCCAGAAACATTTTCAAGCATACGAGGCCGCATATTTTCAATTTTAAGACAATACATCGTGTTGAAGTCCGGAGCAAAAATAATAGGCTAGAAAAAAGCATCATGAAAATTAATATAAAAAAGAAGTGTTAACGATCGACTTCAGAGCTTAGGGGCCTTGTATACCTTAGTTTTGATCTGACTATGAGACATATCTTCAAATTTGAGAGTGAATGGAGAGTAAAGCTTCTTCATGTAAGTCGTAGTTAGCTTGCCTTCGGAGCAAGTTCATTTATTAATGCCCTTTAAGAGTTCGGTACTTTGTACATATGGCACTTCAACTTGTAGAGACTGTCAATTTTTCCAGGGTTCACATTTGGAACATACTTTGCAGTTACTTACCAACTAATAACTCTCCCTTGATCGCCTAGCTATATGCACATACCAACCCTGACATACTATATTCTGCTATGGGTGGCTGAGGATCCTACCGTGACCTGTTCTTTGTGTTTTAGACCTTGGAGTTACTAGCATGAAGGAAGTTGTCAACTTACACTATGCTTCTCAGGCATTAAATCCAAAATGGCAAAAAGAGATGAAGTGCCTGCAAACTAACCTTGTCGATAAGTAATTCATTTGGTCATCACGTGTTGCTAATGCTGTGCAATAGAAATTTCCTTCCACTTGCCAAATGTATTTGTCTTTCGTTTTCTTTAGGGGAAAATATAGTTAGAGAATCCAGAAAGAGATTATATTATACAAGCAGATGATGCGAATCAGATAGACAAAGAGAATTGGTTGACTTTGAAGTCAGATGTCTGTGCAAGAGGTGGGTGATTTGTGCTTTTGGATATTTGCAACGTGTTATATGTCATACTTCTGATACTTAACGTTGACAAAGTGATTTAGACGTTTAAGAAATATGTACATAGAAATTGAAAGGAATATATATAGAGAGGTGAACTTATGTCAACTTAAGTGGAAAAGAGGCCTTTGTCCACCAAACTTTCTATCCACTCATATATATATATATATATAAAAAGCCTCTTCATATCTTGCATGGATCCCTAGGTATCATTAATGGATAAAAAGTTTGGTGGATGATCCATTTAAGTTGACATAAGTTTCTCTCTCTCTCTTTATATATATATATATGGGTGTGTGTGTGTGTCTATACACACACATATGTACATATGTATATACATATGTATATATATCTATATATATACACA